CATGGGTGCTAGCATTAATGAGGAGAGACTACACAAATGGGAGAGATTTGTGTCGTCCTGCTGTTACGAGATTTGCTACTCACTTTTTGAGCATCCAATGTTTGTTGAAATTTAAGAAGGAACTTAGACAAATGTTTACAAGTGATGCATGGGTTGGTTCTCGGTATGCAAGAAGCAGTGTTGGGAAAGAAATATGTGAAATTATCTTGGAAGATAAAGAATTTTGGTCTAATTGCATGGTAGTTGTCAAAATCAGTGAACCTTTGGTGAGAGTGCTTCGACTTGTGGATAATGAAGAGAAGCCAAGCATGGGCTATTTGTATGAGGCAATTGATAAGGCAAAGGAGACAATAAAAAAGAATTTTAATAATAGGTTGTCTCACTACATGCCTTACATTAATGTGATTGATGCTAGATTGGATAAGCAACTTTATAGCCCATTACATGCAGCTGGTTGTTTTCTTAATCCAGGTATCTACTTTAAACCTAGCTTCAACAAACAAACTACTGTTACGAGAGGTTTGCTTAATACTTTAACAACATTGATACCGGATGAGGATAAGCAAGATCTCATTAGTTCACAACTTGAGGAGTATAAAAAAGCTACAGGGACCTTTGGCATGAGTTTGGCTATTCGTCAGAGAGAAAAGTTAAATCCAGGTAATTTTCTTTCATCTTAGCTCTCTTTTCATTTTGTTTAAAAACTTTTTATTTTACTTATTTCAATGCACATTGTATTTTATTGTTTTTATAGTTGCATGGTGGGATCAATTTGGAACGGATACACCCGAATTGCAAAAGTTTGCAATTCGAGTGCTTAGCCAATGCACAAGTGCAACTGGATGTGAAAGGAATTGGAGTGCTTTTGATTTTATTCATTCTAAGAGGAGGAATAGGCTAGAGCATGAAAGGTTGAATGCCCTTGTGTTTGTTCGTTATAATTTGAAGCTTCGAGAAAGGTATAATATCTTTAAAATATTATAATTGCTTTATTTATTTATATTTTTTTTTTGCATATACTTTATGCACGTTTATGTTTTATATAGAAATCAAACAAATGTTAGTTGTGATTGTTGTTTGTTTATAGAATTATTTATAGGGGCAAAGAAGCAATGGATCCTCTTAGTCTTGATAATATTGACATATTAGCTGATTGGGTGGCTGAGGAGCCAACTCTTCTTGATAAAGATGATTATGATGTAGATTGGGCAGCAGTTGATGAGTCTTTGCCAAATCAAATCCTTGATGATACTGATAATATTGTTTATGATGAGGAAGATGTCCCACAAGTTCCTCTTGAAAATGAAAGTGAACAACTTTGGACTGGAGTTGGTGGAGTTACAGGTTATGGAATTCCTCAACATGAGGATCCTTATAATTATGTACAAGATCATTAATTTTGTTGTTTATTTATAATTGTCACTTGACAGAAACAATTGAAGAACTCTTGTAATGAACCATTAGGTATCTGTTTTATCATTCAGTCTTTTTAACTTTTATAAATTGAATGTTATTTGCTATCATCTATTTAATGATTGTCATTATCTTAATGTCTTTAACTTAAACCATCTAAAGTATCTTTGCTTGGGTTATAATGGGTTTAGGTTAATGGTTGAAAAAAAAA